CTTCTCGCTGCTCGTCCAGCCCGTCCCAAGTCCCCGACCCACAGCACAGACCAGCAATCCCTCCGTTTGACGCCGCTGTTCTGTACAATCTCCCACTCCGCGCCCCACGCTGCGGCTCTGCAGGTTCGGGCAGAGGAGGAGATGCCAAGCTCTGGCCTCTGCATCCCTGAGCAGAACGAGGTGAGGGGTTCCTGCAGCTGATTTTTGTTTTTGCTGATGTTCAGGCAGCAGCTCCTGCAGCGCGTTGGTGACCCGACGGGCGATGGAGCCATCAGACCTGCATGGCACCAGCTGGGCACCGCCGCCTCCCAGGTGAGTGATACCTGCGCTGGCTGCTCAGAAATGGGCTTTCGGGGCAGTTTCCAAGGTCAGTGCTGACCCTGGGCATCCGCCCTTACAGCAAAATGGGGATTGCAGGGGCCTGCGGCTGTCGAGGACTCGGTCCGATGGCAGATGTGGCCCCTTCTGCTCCTCCAGCTGGGGAGGAGGGGTGTAGGGCTGCTGCTGGCTCCCCATGGCCGGGGCTGGGCACCCCAAAACCGGCCCTTTGGGTGCAGCCTCACGCCAAGCCCTGGGCTGGGGGGGCCAGTGCATCCTGGCGAGGGGGGGCAGACACGTTCTCCCTTCTGTGCACAAGCAGAGGATACGCTGCAGTGTCTGAATTTACATATGAGTTGGCAAAACGCGTGTTTGTGTCATTTCTGCAAGAGCAGCAGCCGGCTCGGCAGCTTACGCGTTGTGGCAGTAGTAGCGGTGCTTGAGTTATAGCGAAACTTATTTCGTTTTACAGCTCCTACAGCGGTAACAGATGTACGGGCGTCTGATCCAATCATGCAGCAAGAGATTTTTTTGGGGCCAGTTCCTCCAGTTTTGACAGTGCGTAAGCTAGGAGCAGCCATACATTTTACAAACAAGAATAAACGACCCTCAGCAACATATGTCTGTGCTGGCAGCTCCGGCGTGATCAGCGGTAAGGCACCCTGCTAGGCAGGAACGCAGCCGGGCTCTGCGTACGGCCAGGACGGACAAAGCAGCTGCCTTCCTCCCGTGATATTAATGAGGCGCAGGCACCGGGATCCCTGTGCTGTGCGGCTGGATGTGCTGGGTGGGGACAAAGGACTTGTAAAAAGAAATGCTAACCCAGAGCACCAGAGCTGTATTTGTTTGAAAGCCTGTATTTCATCGCAGTGACGCTTCGCTCCTCTGCTCTCCTGCCCGCTGTCTGGCCAGGCTCTCCTGCGTTGCTGCACGCTGCTCCGGCATCCTTAGCAGCTCGGCCACGCTGGAACTGCTTCGCTGAACTCTGCACAAGGTCCCTGCTCCAGCCCCAGCATCCCCCCGCCGCTGGCCTCTGCTCCCAGCCCAGTGCAGGGGGTGCACGGGGAGCTCAGGGAGCCAAGCGATGGCCAGCGGGTCCCCAGGGGCCAGCATTTGGGACAGAAAAACCTCTTTTATGCAGCCGAGCGCTGTACAACAAGGTGGTGAAGCACAGGGCAAGCACTGAGCACTGTGGACTCTCAGAGTGGCCCTGGCAGAGCCCCCGGCGCTGGGATGGTGCTCAGCCTGAGCTATGCTCCGTCCTAAATTCCAGCCCTGGCCCCAGTGCCTGCCTAACTGATGCCTAACTGTGACACCAGGGTCACACCAGACCCTAGCCCCCCCAGCTTCAGCCCCGCAGAAACCAGTGCACAGATGGCCTTGGGGAGAAAGGGAGAGAGGGGAGCTGGAAGCTGAGTGCACCCTAATAAATTTAATCCCTACATGGTGTTAAGGGTAGGAGCTCAATTTATTTCTCCTTGTGCTCAAAACAATAGTAGCTTTGGTCCCGAAACAGTAGTGAGATTTCTTCCCCCCAGATGGAAAAAAAGGAAATACTATAAATCCATCCTGGGCCTGATTTATCTAGCATTCATAAAGAATTTATATTGCAAAGAATTTTATTCAATTAAACTTGAAAAGACTCTAGATTCTTAAGAAAAAACGGAGACAGAGCGCTCATAAAACTGGCTGGCCTGTCTGGAGCAGGCACGGAGAAAATGTCTGATGTGACATTGCAGCTGACGGTACAGTCCAACGCCCGAGCATTTGTCATTGGGATGTGTTACAGGCTAAGGCTCGGAAAATTACTCTGTGAAAAATGTGCATTAACAATAGCCGTGAAATATCCGTTTCAAAAAAAAAAAGGAGAGTAATGAGACAGCGGCATCTCTTAGCACTGGGCATTCTTCACTCTGCCCCCACTGATTAAAAAGTTAACACAAAAGCCAGTGACTCTTTCGGGAAGCAAGTTTAAGGTTGTTTCTACTTAAATAATTGAACAGAGGAAGCTGCACGAGTCATTTCAAAGCTCCCACAGCTAAAAGTGGCAGCTTCAGCGCAGGACAAGAACCCTTCATGGGTGTAATCACCCCACAGCCCCCAGTGCTGCTCCTCCCTACAAGGAGGCAAAGACTTAAACCACCCCGTCTGACACTTGTTCTTCCCAAAGAGATTTCCAAGCGGTAAGGGGCTTGGACTTAACGGGAAAATTGTGTCTGGATCCTCTGTGCAGCACAGGCGGCGAGGCGTTAACTCCTTCAGCCACCTGTAACGTATTGAGGATGGTTTCTGGCATTTTCAGTTCGTCAGGAGGCTGAAAACAGATCCCCTCTCTGCTGAAGTATCGTGATCTGCTATCGTGATGTCTGCAGCCAGGTTCTCCGAGCTCTAGGGCTTTACTCCTCCAGCTGGTACCTGCAGCCAGGGGGACGCTGGGACCAGTCTCCGAGGGGTCTGTGCGTGGAGGGGCAGCTCCCCGTGGAGTCAAGCCCAGCCACCTAAACGGAGCTTAGGATCACAGAATCATCCTGCCTGCACACGACCTGGAGGATTTGGCCTTTCCTCCTGTAATCCCTCCATCCTGTGTGAGCCCCGCTCCTGGCAGAGGATGCACGGGGTTGTCAGCACGGAGATGTTCTTCACGACACATAAAGAGAGGCAGCCAGAGCCAGAGAATTCCCAGCGCATTCCTGAAAACCTACACAGCTGAGGGACTGAAAGCACCTTAAAAAAGAAAAGCACGCTGTGCTCAGTATCGAAGCGTGACAGTTAAGGGCCCTGTGGTACAAGTAAATCACGTTTATTATTTCAGAGCTGGTGGACAGAGTTCCTGGATCTCTGCACAGCTGCTGTTCTGGGCGAGCGTGATGTCTTACAAGAGCAGCGGATTGTTTTCTTCATTCCTCAGAGTCCCGTCAAAGCCTTTCCCCAGCACCTGCCGCTGCCCAGGGAAATGAAGACATCTCCAGAAACCGGCTGCAGTTCTTTGAAGCCTCCTGCCTCGACTCCAACCCAGGGCAAGCGGTAACTCTGCTGCCATCACCGCAGGGTTACACCAGGACATTTGGACAAGGCCCAGGGAACAGAACAGCTGTGTTCCTCGCTGTATTTATTAACAAGGTCCTAGTTATTTAATCTGCAAGTTCTTGGCAGCTCACATTTCCAGTCCAGGCTTGTTCTCCTTCCCTTCCTTGATGAGGGAAAGCAGTCTGCAGGATTTACCTTCCCACCATCAAGGAAACAAACATTCCAGCTCCCAGTTATGTCTGAGGTCTTACATATATAGTCTCTTCTTTTCCTTCCTTCATTGCAGCGTAACGTGCCAAAACAAAGAGAAAGTCACTCAGCCTGGAAAGGGAAGGAAAAGCAGTGAAAGCACTTCTCACACCAGGTGTGTTTGCATCCAGCAACGCACACCAACACAGCAGAGCTGCTCTGATGACAGCGCAAGGACGGCACGTAAAGGAAGGCAAAGAGAGAGCCAGGAGAAGCGCTGCCCAAAATGGCTCTCAGTAAGCAAGCTGACTGCTCCCTCAGCACCGCCTGCAAACACACAGGCCTCGCAAGAATGCTTTTTAACAAGCTGCTTGTTGAAACTACAAAGATATTATTCTAGAAGTGAAACTTTGAGACATAAAACCCTGCAGTTCAATGCCAAGACTAAGGGAGGAACACCAAGCACACTTCAGTAGTACAGAGTAAGGGTTTGGGTTGGTTTTTTTTTTTTACCTGTTTAAATATTTGGCCACGTTTGGATCTGCTTCCCCTGCTTGTACTAAAGGAACCACACTAAGAAAAGAAAAGGAAAAATTCAGTGTATTTAACTTCCTAGCTCGGAATTCAGAAAGGACTGAGATCTGCTGGAGCACCGACCCTCCCGCTCCAGCCCCACCTGCAGTCCCTGTTCTAACTCCCCACAGCACCCGCGATCACCCGTTACTTCCCCAGGAGGAATCTCTGGTGGCCCCACGACATGATTTTTATAACTGTTCTGGAGAACAGCAGCTCCACTCCTCTGAAGGACAGTCTCAGTGGGTACCACTGAACAAGGGGGCAGTTTGCAGGATCATTATTATCCTTTTCTGCAGGTAAACAGGGACCCTTTACCTGCTGAGGGCACAGGGCTGTCCCTGCCTCCTGACTGGCGTACAGCTCTCTTTCCAGCTTTCTTTTGACAGGAAACCACTGCCTGTGATGCTGGTTTTTTGAAGATGAGTAGCAACCCTGCTGACGAGCAGGTTCAGGCTAACACAAGAGACTTTATGTGCGTGGGATTGACATACCGAGCACACAAGAGGTTTCTCCTACGGACCTCACCAGGGGAGTTTTCACCTCCAGTACAGAAGTGGGACAAGGCAGGTGTGGGCACTAACATCTTAAGCCGCTAAAAGCTTCCCTGGATCTCACCCCTGCCAGCACCCCAGCTTCCACATGTGCCAGCCTACAATGAGCAAACCAGACACGAGCTGAACACATAGATGCATCTCAACATAAACCCGTCTGTTCTTTCTGAAGGTCTGAGCTCAGATGACCCAGCTCAGGGGAGGGAAGAGACTGGCTTTTTGCTGACTGCACTCCTGGAATTTGACTAATACAAACATACAAAGCTTGACTCCAGCTCCAGCTACGGTTGATTGCCCTGACTGCAACGATTTGTTATCATTGTAGCATTCTGATCACCTTTTATCAATGTCATCCTGTTACACTACAGCCAACACTCACCGCCTTTCAGCTCTGCGGCAGACAGCTCGGGAAAAATGGAGAGCAGCGCTGCTTTTACCTCCCGACTGAAACAACAATGGAACAGCGCATCAATGTCTGCGAACAACAGATACAGCCATCCACCTTACTGTGGAAATGCAGCAAAGCTTATCACATCTCACACCCGTGCAACTCAGCCCTGCGTTACGGCTAGGCAACTGGGAAGGGATATCTGAATGCAGGAGGATGTGGAAATTAAACTCAACCAGGTCCTTCTCTCTGCTTTGCTTTACCAAAATTGTCCATGCAAATAATGGCCTCACAGCCTGGTTTTGCATGGCAGGTGGCGGAGCAGATTTACCCTGCCACAGCAAGGCCTCTCCAACCAGTGAGAGGCGTAAGCGGTACCTACCGGCAAGATGAAAGCTCTGAGTGGAGGCAGCTGCTCTGTGTAACTGTCAATCCACTGCTCCAGCTCCAGAACTGGCTTCTCACTAAAAGATGTTCGTTCTACAGAAGGAAAAGAAGAATCAGCTAAAAGAAATGCAGAAGTGATTCGGTCTACAGGTAGAGCTTTTATATTTCTTGGGTCAGTAAGTCCTAAAAAAGCATCCCCCAAAAAATCCCTCTGCTAGAGCAGGGCTGGCTCCCCATTCAGCGGCCGTGGCAGGATGTCAGTGCTGGGGCAGTGCCCCAGGCCAGCTGCCAGCGCTTCAGTCCCACAAATGCAGCAGCTTGTGGGACCGTGTGTGACTTCATTCAGCACCAGACAGGCTCTGCGGAGCTGCCCTTGGGCAGCTCTAATTCCCACATTCCCAAACAGCCTCCCCAGCACCAGCCTAGGACAGCTGGGACTGGAGAACCGTTCTCCCAGGAGAGGTACGGTGGGGCTTACTTAAATGAGCCTCCCTGGCTGAGGAGAGAGGCGTTGCGATGTTGGAGTTCACATCCTGCAGCATACACTGGATCTAGATGTGGCAATCGGGACAAAAAATAAGAAGCGCTTTCATTAACCAGCCTTTGATGCTCGGGTACAACTGCAGCAAGCTCTGGGAGGCGACAGCTGGCTGTGCTGATTAAAGAAGATCCTACCCTTGTTGTTCATCATCCCCCAGCCTACTGGCAGGGGGGATCAGATAACTGCTCCCTAATTGCTTTATGAGAAGCCAGATTAGCGCATGTGCTTGTTTTCACTGGCACATTAACCCACCCCAGCTGACTTTGCAGAAAACAGACTGGGGAGTGCTCACATAATCCCTTTGCTGGTAGGACACCGAACTGGTAACCTTTGGAAGAAAGGCAGTGACACACAGCTGCAGACAGTGCTGGCTTGATGTCCTGTCTGCTTCCAGGAGGGGCATCTCTCCCCTGCCTGGGCTATGTGAGAGGCAGCCTGGTAACGCTTCTTAAAGTCTCCGATTAGCTCCTTCTGAGTTCTCGTGCATAGCGAAGCTCATTAGCGAATCCCACCAACCGCCACTGTCCCCCAGCCGTCACACCCGCGTCACTGCTTTGCCCTGATTTCAAATCTGAGGTGATGTGACAACAAGACTTCTGTCCATGACCGTGTACAGTAACAGGTCTGAATAAATCCAGGGACACATTCGTCTGCCCACAGCAAATTAATTTCTTAGAGAGTAATCAAGGGCCAGAATCTTAAGCATTTATTTATTTAAATACTAAATTTATTAAATTCCTGCGTGTCAGTGGGAGTGCTGTGTCTAAAGTTAAAGAGTTTAAGAGTATGTTTCAATAGCACAGATGAAGGGACCGCACTGGGTCAAGATTACCATTAATGCTCACTTTTTGAAGCTGTTCAACAAACGTGTGGCCCTTTTCACTGCTGAATGCACTCGCAAGCCTAGGTTAAAAACAAAAAAAGGAAACAGAGTCAGCTAGAAATTAAAAAATTACCAATTGAGCATGTTTTTCCACATGAAAAACAGAGAATTTGGACGCTCCTGGCTGTTTGTCAGTGCAGCCCTCCGGAGAACCTTGGTCTGCAGCGTATCCCCTTCGCTCCGGCCAGGCTGTGGGGCCAAAAAAAAGGGGGGGGGGGAGCCATACTTATCGGAGGGAGACGCCCAGAAGACCCCCACAGAAGCGGGCTGGGACGGTGTCGCTGGGATTTCCGCACACGGAGAGACGGAGTTCAGCCTGCCCAGACCAGAGCTCCCCGGCCACCCTGGCAGGACCCACCCAGACCTCCGCAGCCCCTCCGCCCGGCAGCGGGACAGGGTCCTGGGGCAGGGGG